CCTACGCCGCCGCCGCCGTCGGACCCGGACCCTGAGAAGAAACCGCCCGGCGCGCGCCAGGAGTGTCGTCACTTCCTGCGTTGGCGCGGGCTGATGACGACCGGGGGCAGGCCCGATGGTCGAGCCCACCCCCACCCCCCCACCCCCCCCCCACCCTCCCACTCCCCCCTCCCCGCCGCCAACACCAGACCTGCGCAGGGTGCCGGGCGCGCGCTGCGCGTCATTACGGGCCTAGGCGCAGACTGCTGACGACACCCGGGGTGCCGGGGCGGGGCGAGTCCCTGCTGGCAGCTCGGCGGAAGTCCGGGCCTGTCCTGGTCGGGTGCCGGTGTTGCGCCCTTTCTCCCAGTCCCCGTGACCCCGACCCCGGCGGTCGCGCGGTGGACTCCGAATCTTGCCTACGGAAGACCTCCCGCCGGTCCGGGGCGGGGAGAGCGGTTGCCACGGGGTTTTAAGCTGTGCTAAGGCGGGGCAGGGGGGCCCTCAAAGTCCGTGCACTCCCTCATCGTGAGGTGCGGCTTCTAACCTGTTGAGGCTCTTAGAATGAAGTTCTCTTCCCTGGCTCCAGTTACTCTGCGGACCTTGGTGGTCACAGAAAACTGGCAGTTCAACCTCGAGAACCTCAGGAAAGAGAACGGTAAACGAATACCCACATTCACTGGACCTGAAATGGAAAATGTGGTAAAATGTGACAGGAAATTGGGGCACAGAAAGGGCGGTGGAATTGGAATTCTTTCTCTTCCCGGAAAGAAATGTTTACTTTCTGTGTCCAGGCGCTTGTTTTGCTTCCTGAGTTTTTGGTGACAGGAAAAAACCAATTTTTTTACTCCCTTCACGCTGAAAAGGGGTGAAGGCAATAAGAACCCACCCTTGTTCATTTCAGTAGCGCGAACACTGGAGAGTTACACAAGGAAGAAAACAGTATACGCTGAACATTTATTTTACTTTTGCAGAACAAGAGTCCTAGATAGTTGCTACCATGGTGGCTTAATTTAGACAAAAATAACCAGGGGGCATCCACAGGATTCACTGTACAGCATCGATGTATTACCATAGCAGAATTAACAGTGACTCAGTTATTTAACCACCATTTTCTAGAAAGAATCCATCTAATCACATAAATACTGAAATAAGTGAAATACAAAACACTATAGACATTTTGCACAATGTACTTTTAGTTCTCCGCAGTTTTGTTTGGTATAAAGCACATATAATTTGGTTCTGACGTAGACAATTATTGATATAATTTTCAAGTTTTTCAGTGTGGGAAAGTCCCTCTCACTGTGGCCCTCTGCAACGTGGTGCCCACAACACCGCCCTGGGCGGGTGCAGACGCTACTCACACATCTGCAGTCTAGAAATAGCACATCAGCTGAATGCCAGTTTTCCTCTGATGAAAACTGGAAAAAAACAAACAAACAAAACCAAAGACTTTGCCAATCAGAACAGTTTCCAACTCAGTTTGGACATCCAGGCATGGACCCAGTGGCCATCAAACTCGGAATCTCAGCCCTCAGGAGAAGGGGAGGAGATACTACAGAGACAGCAAACTGGAAGGTTTTACACCCTGAGCTGCAGGGTGAGTACGCCAAGCGACGGTCAGCATAACCTCATGACTCTGCTCTCGGCCCCTCAGCCAGGATAGGGGAATAGGCAGACTCTTCAGGGGAGCTGGGACGTTCTTATTTATAAACTAAGAAAACAAAGAGGTCCCAACCAGGGCGCGCACGTGTTCTGGAGAACAGAGCCCTTGGCACAATGTTGGTCAAAGGCAACGAGAGGAGAGTTTCTACCTGTAACAACATCTTTGTTTAATTTTTCCAACCCAGGGGAACAGTGAAAATACTTTCAGGCATCAGGAAGCACACCCCCTGGACAGATGTAAAAAGACGTGTTGCATTTCTTTGATCCCCTCTGGCCCGTCTGTAAATGACTCTCCATGGGACAGTCAGCGCCGCACAGGAGGGAAAGCCCACCAGTTTGCGGAAAGTATTTCAAGGGCTGGCGACGAGCACGGCCCCATGTGGATGATATTCCTCGTGCAGCAATTTTTTACTGTTTGATTCACAAATTAAAGACACATTTTGGATTGTGCAAGGGTATTCTCAGTTTTTCCAAGGCATATGATTTTAATGCTGATATGCAGGAAATTATGACTATCAGAATTCTTTTTTGAAAAAGGCTTTTTTTATGCCACTCAGTAGTGGAAATTTCCTTGAAAGCCAGAGATCTCTACATCTCTAAGTATCAATGTAAGTAAGCAGATGACCAGATTCAGAAGCCTGGTTCAAGTGTTTGTTTACAAAGGCACGGACGACGACCAAAGACATAGGAGGAGTGAACCCAATGTAACACACAACACCCAGTGTCAACACTGGTACGAGCACGCCTGCGATGGTTCAGTGAAAAGAACATACTAAAAAACTACTAAACAAAGTTAATTAAAAAACATGTCTGTACGGTTATTAAACAAATGCCATTGCCAGGCTGCGGAAACGCCCAACATGTGGACGACTTAGGGGTGGAGATGCAGACAGACTGCAGCTGCAGCACATGTTTTGTAGTCTCCCACCCGGGATGAGGAGAAGTCTCAAAAGCAGCTTTGCTAGAAACTGCCTCATTTACTAATAATTTAGGAAAATCTTTCTTGGTCCTAATATCTAGAAAATCAAAACAGGATGAGAGTGGAGGGAGGGGCACGTCCACAGGAGGCAGGGACCCAGGTCCCTAACAACACTCGGGACACAGGCGACGGGCACCTGATAACACTCAGATGACTGTCTGCCGTGGGCGACCACAGATGCGCCCCTTCTGTTCACGTCTCCCCATCAGCCGTGGGCACAGCGGCCACAGTCTGAGGGCAGAGGCAGCAGCCCCAGGGAAGCGGTGCTTTCTCTCTGGTCCTCACAGATCAGTGCGCCAGCCGCCGCCCCAGCTACCGCGGAAGAACCCTCTTTAGTTTTGTTTTGGGGGGACGCAGAAAAAGAGGAAAGGCATAAAACCTGGGAAAGTCACACGAGCAACCCCTGCACAGTGAAGGTGCGTGTGACCTGCCATCCTCTGGAGCAGGAGGTTAGCTTCGTAAAAAGGTTCTTTGTAGTTTAAAAGGCCTCATTTTAATCCATCATCATTACAAGCTTTTTAAAGTTAGCGGAACTTAATGAGATGTAGTTATTGCTCTTCGTTTCCAAGAGATCTGCTCTCCAGGAGGGGCTATTTTATATTTTCCAGCTGAGAAGCCAACTGGAAAACCAGAGAAGCAATCAGGGAGCCCAGGCCCCGAACAGCTGGGACTGCTGCCTGAGACTCAGGGAACGATTTGTGCCTTCGGGTGGCTCTGTCCGCAGGCTGGCTGGAGATAGCCAGGGGGCCAGCCTGTGGCCCCCGAGTAGGGCTGCACCTGACAAGCTCCAGAGCTCTAGCCTGGTGGGAGGGAGGGGGCTGTGTCCGGGTCAGAAATCCCAACGGGCTGCGAGGCAAGAGGTGAAGCGAGGGGTGGCGCCTCAGCCCACCACAGGCCTCAAACACCTGGCTGGCCGTCCGTCTGTCTGCTCTGGAGGAGGCGGGCCGGGCCGGGCCATGGGTCTGACTGTGGTTTACCTGGCATACACGATGCGTTCCATAAGCCACCTATGCCTGTGTTTCCTTTTAAAAACCTACACTGTCATTTTAAACGCAGCATAACAAAAACTGTAAATATTCCACACTCGTCCTGCTCATCATTCACGAGGGAAAATCCTAAAAGCCTCGTTGATGAGACAAGGCAAGGCTCCTGACCAGTTGAGTGGGGATGGGTGCTCCCCGGGGGCGCTCCGAACAGCCTGCCTCTCACCCAGGGGAGCAGAAGGGACGGCAGCCCCCTCCCTGAGCCAGACACCGCGGGGGGCTGCCCGCAGCCTCGGGCTGGAAACCACGTCTGGGCCTCTGGGGAGCCCCGGCCGCAGGTGAGGGCTGGACCTTCAGGTGAGGAGCTCGGCGCAGCAGGCACGGAAAGGGGTGGGGCCGCCTTCGCTCCGCGAGTGACCTTCCCTAAGTGGTGCTGATGCGGGCAGCTCCGCCTCAGGCAGGTGGTCAGGAGGCCGGGGCCGGACACTCCATCCTCAGGAGCAGGGAACGCCGGTCTCTGCACCCCAGCTGTCCCCTCTCCGCTCTGTGCCCCGATGCCGTGGCCTCCGTGTCTGGGCAGTGGGGCAGCCTGTCCGAGCCCAGTGGACAGACTCCCTGACGGCCGAGGAGCCAGACGTACTTCGGGTGGCCGCCAACGGCTGGCGTGGGGAAGCGGGCTCTCTCCGCCGGCTACAAGTGGGGAGGGCAGCTGCTGGCACCTGGCTGCAGCCCCGGCTTCACAGCTGTCCCCAGTGGTCGTCACCCACAGAGGAATTGGGGCCTGGCCTGGCTGCAGGGGGTGCACAGAGGCCGCCAGGAGGAGGTTGTCACGTGGCTCGGCAACGGCTCAGTGGCAGCTGTGGTCTGCGCCCCAGGGGCTGACATCTGGGACCCCGATTCGAGCTCCCCCAGCTCTGACCAAATGTCCCAGGAAAGAGCGGGAAAGGCTGCCCACCCGCACCTCCCACACCCGGACTGTGACCCGTGGAGCCGGAGGCCCCACGCCTGCCGTCCAGGGAGCAGGAGAGGCGAAGGGGGTCCCCCACTGGCGAGGAGCGGCATGGTGCGCGGCGCCCCTGAGGCTCCGGGGCTCAGTGGTGTGGCCGGGGGTCCGGGGGGAGCAGCGGCTCAGGGCTGCTGTCTGGGGACTGGCTGGTGGCCGCAGCCAGGCTCTGCATGGCCTCCCGCTGCTGCTGCTTGGCCTTGTTGTAGAGCAGGACTCCGGCTGTCACCAGCACGGTGCCCACGGCTGACAGGCTGGTGACCCTGTTGCCGAAAACGATGACGCTGAGCCAGATGGACAGGGCGTGCTTGACGGTGCTGGCGACACTGCGGGAGAGGACAGCGGGGACGTCGGCGGGGGCCAAAGGCCTCTCCGCCAACCCCAGTCGTGCTGGGGTTCTTCCTACTGGGAAAAAGGTCACTGAGAAGCAGCGACACTTCCAACAAAAAGCCGAGTCCCATCTTCACACTCAGCATTTTGTCGTATTTTGCTTCGCCCTTTTTTTGACGGAAATATTTCTAAGTATGTTATAGACATCATGACATTTGATCCCTCACTGCTGCAGCGTGCTCTCCACAGAACGAGGAAGGTTCCTCTGAGAGCGCCTGAGAGAACCGGTCATTAGGGAGACTATCTGGGAAGTGACACAGCCCTGCTCAGCCACTGCCGGGACCTCATGAAGATAAAGTGAACACGACAGGGCTTGTCTCCTGGGCTGCCATTGAGGACAATTTAAACTTAATTTTTGTACTTTTCTACCTAAAGCTATTTTCTTTAAAAAGAACTGGTTTGGGGACCGTCCTCGTGGTCCAGTGGTTAAGACTCTGCACTTCCAGTGCAGGGGGACCGGGTTTGATCCCTGGTCGGGGAACTAGATCCCATATCCTGTACAGCAGCCGAAAAAAATTTTTTTAATAAAATAAAAAGAACTGGTCTTCTGTTTTCTGCTTTTTGAACCGTCAACTAACAATCACTGAAAAACAAACTTTCAGGGGTATGTGGATATAATTCCTGGCCCTAAATGGAAACAGGACCGTATGACAGACTGTGACAGCGAGAGCTTCAGGAGACCTCAGCAATCAAGCTGCCCTGGAGGGCCCTGCAGGCAGCTCCCCTCCAGGACTCGGGCAGAGGGTGCATGCACCCCGGGAGGCCCAAGGGCAGCGACGCACCTGCTGCCATCACTCCTGGGTACAATTCTGCACTCCAGTGACAGTTCTGAAGTTAAAGGACAAAGGCCCGTTGGCTTCTACAACAACTTGACGGGCAGACCCGCTGACATCACTGCATGGGTTTCCAGGCCTGCTGGCAACCTCAGCCGACTCCTTTCTATTTGTTACTGAAAATGCTCCAGTGTCAAATCACGCTTTCGCTTTCGCTAAGTGCACCCAGTTACAGAGAAGAAGCCTGTGAGACCTGAGCTCAGTGCTAAGTTACCGGCAGGGAGCCGACGGCCACGTGTGGCTGCTCAAGTGTGAACTGATAAAAGTTAGAGAAATGTCAGACGTTGGTTCCTCGTGGCACTTGGCACGCCCCAGGCGCTCAGGAGCACACGTGGCCTGTGGCTCCCACCCTGGGCGGCCCAGAAGCGGGACGATCCGTCATCCCGGGAGATTCCACGGACAGTGCTGTTTCGGGCAGGAGTACACTCACACCACTCCAAGGATTTCTGCTTCTGCAGAATCCCAGCGGGGATTCCCCTAAAGATCTGTTTCACAGACTTTCCTGTTCATGTTTCAAACGGCACCGATACAGAACGGCCTAGTAATTATGACCTGTGACCACAACGATCACTACATTTGTGATTCCACAACCACGAACACCTCTTATAAAACGTCTAGATGGCAAGCGTTCCCCTCTGCACGTGACCTGGAGACACTTCACCTCTTGGGCGGTGCGGTCCTTACCTGAAGGTCACGGGGGAGATCCTCCCCATGAGGGCATAGGCTGTGACGCTCTGCAGGTGGAAGAGGACGCCGTCCGCCAGCAGCAGAAGCAGCACGTCCTGGCTGTAGCGGAAGCTCCTCGCGTTCCATCCGATCACCGGCAAGTCCTGCGCCAGAGCCAGAGGGACGCCCGCGGTGCTGACACCCAGACCCCAGCCCAGGGGCCAGCTGCACGCTGGAGCCCGGCCGTAGGACAGGACAGCCCAGTTCCACTTGTGTTAAAAAGAGAGATCTGCGTAGACGCACACCTGTGCTTCTGTAGGACTGATGGGAGCCCACGACACGCGTGAGCACAGGAGCGTGACACGCAGACACGCCTGGGAGGGGCTGCGGGACGCACTGCTCTCCGTTTCATAAACTCCTGCCCTGGGACTTGTTCAATGGTGGTCACAATGTTTTTAAATAACAGTAGTAATAAAAACCAAGTGCAGGGGGGCTTCCCTGGTGGCGCAGTGGTTAAGAATCCGCCTGCCGATGCAGGGGACACGGGTTCGAGCCCTCATCCGGGAAGATCCCACATGCCGCAGAGCAACTAAGCCCGTGCGCCACAACTACTGAGCCCGTGCGCCACAACTACTGAAGCCCGCGCACCTAGAGCCCGTGCTCCACAAGAGAAGCCACCGCAATGAGAAGCCCGCGCACCACAACGAAGAGTAGCCCCCGCTCGCCGCAACTAGAGAAAGCCCGCGCGCAGCAACGAAGACCCAACGCAGCCAAAAATAAATAAACAAATAAATTTAAAAAAAAAAAACAAGTGCAGGAATTCCCTGGCTGTCCAGTGGTTAAAACTCAGCACTTTCACTGCTGTGGCCCGGGTTCAATCCCTGGTCGGGGAACTAACATCCCACAAGCCCTGAGGTGCGGCCAAAAAACAACAACAAAGTGCACCTAAAAACCCTCCCAGCAAAGTTTCCGGGAACCGCTGGCTGCGGCTTGGCGCCCCACGGGCACCGGACCCACGCAGGACCCGCACGGGTTTGCCTCACTCAGGGCCCCGCCCCCGGCGCTGGCGGCCTGTGTGTGCGCTCGGCACGCCCGGCGCCCGGGGCTCGCCCCGACCTGGGAAGGCGCCAGAGAAGGCGCCAGAGCCGGACTCACCATGAAGAAGATCCAGGCCGGGACGAGCATGGCCACGGCCGCCGCGCTGGTGTAGAACTGCAGCTCCGCGGCCCTGCGGGGACAGGCGCCGGTCCTCGCCCCGCCCTCCGCCGAGCCAGCGCGCCCCCCCACCCCGCCCTCCGCCGAGCCAGCGCGCCCCCCCACCCCGCCCTCCGCCGAGCCAGCGCGCCCCCCCACCCCGCCCTCCGCCGAGCCAGCGCGCCCCCCCACCCCGCCCTCCGCCGAGCCAGCGCGCCCCCCCACCCCGCCCTCCGCCGAGCCAGCGCGCCCCAGTTTATTTATCTCCTCCCAGATGATACGGACGGCCGGGCCTGACAGGCGACCCACCGGCCACTGGACGGTCCCAGGCAGCCTCAAATGAGCCGGCCTAGGGGCAGTTGGAAACAGGCAGAGTTTTCTCCCAAGTTTCAACAAGGTTCTTTTAAAGGCACCATGAAATGGGAGGGATCAGGGCACAGGGTGGTCTGGTCTCCATGGAGCAGTGACACTTACGAGAACCTATATTTGTCCCCGCTGAGGAGCTTTTTGGAGAAAACGTTCTGCAAACTAGAATAAAGAAAAGAAGAGGTTGCGAGAGATCAGATGGCACCTCACACGGTCGAAGTGCCATGTCCTCCAGAAACAGGGACACAGGGTAGCTCCCTGGGGATGGCCCTGGCGTCTGCTGTGAGCCGGGCTGAGCTGCCCCTTTCACAGATGGGTAACCTGAGGTCTCAGAGGCTGAGGACGTGCCTGAGGTTACCCAGCTCTGCTCAGCAGCGGCCACGGAACGGACAGTGTGAGCACAGGAAGACCCTGGGGAAAAAAAACAGAGACAAAACTGCTGGCCGGGAAGGCCTGCAGTGGCCAATGGGAAGACCAGACAGCGTCCAGCTTCCCTGGAACCAGAGGGCTCGGCCGCCTGCCGATGCAGGGGACACGGGTTCGAGCCCTCATCCGGGAAGATCCCACATGCCGCAGAGCAACTAAGCCCGTGCGCCACAACTACTGAGCCCGTGCGCCACAACTACTGAAGCCCGCGCACCTAGAGCCCGTGCTCCACAAGAGAAGCCACCGCAATGAGAAGCCCGCGCACCACAACGAAGAGTAGCCCCCGCTCGCCGCAACTAGAGAAAGCCCGCGCGCAGCAACGAAGACCCAACGCAGCCAAAAATAAATAAACAAATAAATTTAAAAAAAAAAAACAAGTGCAGGAATTCCCTGGCTGTCCAGTGGTTAAAACTCAGCACTTTCACTGCTGTGGCCCGGGTTCAATCCCTGGTCGGGGAACTAACATCCCACAAGCCCTGAGGTGCGGCCAAAAAACAACAACAAAGTGCACCTAAAAACCCTCCCAGCAAAGTTTCCGGGAACCGCTGGCTGCGGCTTGGCGCCCCACGGGCACCGGACCCACGCAGGACCCGCACGGGTTTGCCTCACTCAGGGCCCCGCCCCCGGCGCTGGCGGCCTGTGTGTGCGCTCGGCACGCCCGGCGCCCGGGGCTCGCCCCGACCTGGGAAGGCGCCAGAGAAGGCGCCAGAGCCGGACTCACCATGAAGAAGATCCAGGCCGGGACGAGCATGGCCACGGCCGCCGCGCTGGTGTAGAACTGCAGCTCCGCGGCCCTGCGGGGACAGGCGCCGGTCCTCGCCCCGCCCTCCGCCGAGCCAGCGCGCCCCAGTTTATTTATCTCCTCCCAGATGATACGGACGGCCGGGCCTGACAGGCGACCCACCGGCCACTGGACGGTCCCAGGCAGCCTCAAATGAGCCGGCCTAGGGGCAGTTGGAAACAGGCAGAGTTTTCTCCCAAGTTTCAACAAGGTTCTTTTAAAGGCACCATGAAATGGGAGGGATCAGGGCACAGGGTGGTCTGGTCTCCATGGAGCAGTGACACTTACGAGAACCTATATTTGTCCCCGCTGAGGAGCTTTTTGGAGAAAACGTTCTGCAAACTAGAATAAAGAAAAGAAGAGGTTGCGAGAGATCAGATGGCACCTCACACGGTCGAAGTGCCATGTCCTCCAGAAACAGGGACACAGGGTAGCTCCCTGGGGATGGCCCTGGCGTCTGCTGTGAGCCGGGCTGAGCTGCCCCTTTCACAGATGGGTAACCTGAGGTCTCAGAGGCTGAGGACGTGCCTGAGGTTACCCAGCTCTGCTCAGCAGCGGCCACGGAACGGACAGTGTGAGCACAGGAAGACCCTGGGGAAAAAAAACAGAGACAAAACTGCTGGCCGGGAAGGCCTGCAGTGGCCAATGGGAAGACCAGACAGCGTCCAGCTTCCCTGGAACCAGAGGGCTCGGCATT